TCAGGGGAAATGAGCCCTTCGGTGGGCCTTGACTCACACTTGCTGCAAGGATGTGCATGTGGGAAAGACAGGGACATCATGTGGGCAGGGTCATCCTTTATTAGGCAGTGGCCTGCTAAGTTTGGGGATGGCAACTTTAGAAGTAGCCTCTGTAAGAGTTTCAGCTGCCACAAAGCCAAAGGATATCAATCTGGTGTTACCTAGCAGTAAGTGTCACTTGAAAGTCACAGGTTGTATCTTATTGGATTTTATTATGTATGAAAATATAAGCAAAAACTTTTAAAGACAAGGAGATTATACAAAAACCATTGTTCATTTTCTGTTACTTGATTCTAAATACCCTGTAATGCTATCATTCTCTTAAATGGTTTAACATTGTTTTGATATATTTGATGCTACAGTATATGAAGTTATATTCAAAGATTTCAAGGAAAGAGACAATATGGTAACTACTTTTATGTCAGGATTATCTTGTGGTGAAACACTATTCTGCTTAAATGGTTATGTTTTGATCTGCTCTGTTTTGCTGTTATGCCCTCTTTTATCTCAATCTCCACTTCATTATTTACTTTTTTATTTTTATCCTTTTAATTAAGGGAAAAATAAATAAAAAATAGCAGGATATATTATAGTAACCCACTTTGACTTTCCATTTTCTTGATTTAAAGCCCTGTATTACTATCACCATCTTGTTTTTGACTGATGTCATCCTATTCTGTTTTGCTTGATAGTACCAGGTTCGAAAGTTTAGGCAACAGCTGTGAAGATAATGAGATTCATTATGATGCCCATTCTTGAGGACTATTATCTACTTTTGAAGACCTATAATGTCTCCAATGTTTTGGTTTTGTCTGTTTTGTTCTTTATTGTTTTGTTCAATTTTATTATAACTGATGATATAGGCAATTCTATTAGAGATAGCAGGAGGCATTATGGTAACCATTGTTGATCACCTTGTATTATGCTTTTACATTATCTATTATGTCCACCCTTTTGATTTGATTGACTCTGTTCTGTTATGTCACATTTGGTTCTACTCCCTTCCAAAAAAGTAATAAGAACTGTGGGAGCAACAAAACCCAAAATGTGTAATTGTCATTGTACAAAAGAGAGGAAAAGAAAGTGCTCAAATGATATAACTGCATGTATATTTAAGTGTATAAGATAGATAATGATATCACTGAGTTTTGTTGGATCATTGAACAGATCTGTTTGCAGTCTCACTGTTGAAATGTCCACTTTACAAGCTTTAATTTTGTGACATGAACAGTTATTCCTAAGATGACAATATGTAATCCATTAACTAGTGATTTCCTACTGTTTATTTTTTTTCTGTAAATCTATATAACTTGTACCGTTTCTCTGCTTTTTTTCTCCTTAAATAAAATTTAAAAAACAAACAAAAAGTCACAATACCAGTGCAGTCCTTTGCTTAATGCACTTCTGTAATGAGAAATTTCTTCCAAGCAAGTGAGCAGAGATGTGTACAGAGATTTGAGTGCCAAGTAAACAAAATGAGCTTACATCTAGGACAGAGCGGAGCATTCTAAAATGCATAGGAAGCATCCTAGGCAATATTTTTATACTCTTACAATGGGATGTTACATACAACCTGATACTCATGTTGAAGATTAAGAAAATAATTCACAGTTTTGCCAAGGAAAACAGAGATTTCAAAGATATGTGATTATCTTAATCCTGTTTATTTTGTTAAAAATAAAACAATTGAAGAAAAATGAAAGAATAAATAGGAGAGGGATGCAATGAAACAGGAAGCAAGGATGGAGGAGGGTGGATGGTTGTGGGGCACGCAGGGCAGTGAGCATTTGGGGGTATGAATAAATCACGGCCCTGTGGTGGGTACCTGATCCTGCAGGTGATTGGAGGTCCCCGTGTCCTCACAAGTGGCTGTGGGAGGGGGCAGGAGGATGGGAATCCATGAAGGAGGCATGAAGGTGGAGAGGGCTGTGAGGATGTTAGGAGGCTGTGCTGCTGGCTCTGTGGTGGGAGAAAGAAGTGGGAGACATGGAAACGGTGGTGCTGGGAAACCAGGAGGGAGGAAGGAGCTCTGTTTCAGAGCCCAGAGAAAGGGTTCCCGGGATGCTCTGTTCACACCTTGGCTTCAGCTCAGTGACACCCACACATTTCAGATTACTGGGCTTCTCAGCAGTCATTCCGTAAATTACCTTTTAGATCAGAAAACATCCCAGAGAAGCAGGAATTGCCCTCTGCTCTCTGCAGCCCTGTCTGTGGTTTCAGCATCCAGTGGTGCCCTGAAGCCCATCCTCTGCAGACACAGGGGCTGCTAAGGTTACACTGTGCATGGCACTTCTGTGATGCTGACCTGGGTTCCAGGTATTCGCATGCTCACTTACCACAGCAGCAAATTTGCCATGACAGGAGAGCTCACAAGGTTCAGAGAGTCCAGGTCACCTGCTCAGGTTACACAGCTAGGAAGTGACAGGGTGGCTTTACTCTGGGAAAGGTGGCTCCATATTAGTAGACACTGCAGCAAATGTAAATAGCCAGAAACGGACTCATTATTATTAGTGTAGTCATTTTTTACAAAATACAAATGGAGAAATGTAAGGAAAATGAGACAGAAGTGGTGAACAAAGATGTGTGGCTCAAGAGCACAGAGGACACTCAGATTGGCCCCTCCTTGTCCAGTGTTAGGTGCCTTGGCCTTCTCCACCTCAGGCCTGGTTGCCACACCTACTTCCTTGGGCTGTTCCCCCTCCTCCTCAGGCCCCATCCCCTCCTATTCTCTTCCTTCCAGCCCCAAAACCCTCAGCCCCCACTTAGAGCTAAATCAGCCTTGCAGCAACCACCCCATTCCCCCCCACTCAGGGGCAGCAGAAGTTTGGGCCCTGGTGAGAAGCTTTATCTCCTTCCCACCTCTTTTCCCTGCAGCAAGGAGTGGGAGCACCACAGCAGCTGCCTTCCAGAGCCCTGAAGTCACTGCACTGCACCTTCAGTATCTGCCTTAGTCTACACTGCCACCTGGGGTGCCACCACCTCCACTCACACAGTCACCACCACCTCCCACACTGATAGCACCCCCACACACCCATTCATCCAGCTGAAGAGCTAGAGCCCATGAAAGCCCCCCCCAGGAATTCAGCTGGAGGCCTAGAGGCCAGGACAATGTCTCATGTAAGCCTGTTCAGGCACCACCTCATCTCCACCTCTCTCTTGCCCTGTCCCCCCAGCCCCAGAGCCCAGACCTAAGCTCAATTGACAGCAACCACTTCACATCCCTCCCCCTACAGGCAGCAGCAGGGTTTGGGGCTCTGGAGATGCAGCTCTGTCTCTTCCTCTCCTTTTCTTCCTACACAGGAGCAGGAGTAGCATGCCAGCTTCCTGCCAGAGCCATAAAGACACTCCTCTGTGCCCTCAGCCTCTACCTCTTTTGTTTGCACAGCCTTCCATACTGCCACCACCATCTCCACTGCTGCCACCCCAAACCCATGAGTTCATCTAGAGGCCCAGAGCCCACAGTAGTGTCTCATGCAAGTCTATATCAAGGATCTGCACTGGGAAGCCCCAAAGGTTGGTGGAAACAAACAGTGGGAAAATGCCATTCTCCCAAAATTGTTATACAGATTTAATGCAATTCCAATCACAATACCATTAGTGTACCCCAGAATTTTAGAGAAATCATTCCAAAAATTTATCTGAAATCACAAGTGGCCTAGAATATGAAAGGTAGTACTAAGTAATAAAGATAAGGCAGGAAGAATCACAGTCTCTGACACGATGGGAACCAGTGCTCCTGAGATCCTGCCATGGTGAAAGTTAGGAAGCTGATTCGCTGGCCTTCTTGGTGAGCACACCTGGCTCGGGCTTGGCAGAAAATCAGTGTTCCTGATATACATTCAAGGTAGAACATAGGTGGATTATTCTCCCACCCTCTTGCCAGTGCCCTGGGAATGTGCCAGGAGGAGAAATATAGCTCCTGAGATCCCATTATGGGGCAATTTAGGTAGCTTATTTGCCCACCCTGTTGATAATTGCCCCTGAGGTGGACCAGGAGGAAACCAATGCTCCCCAGATCCAGCCATGATGAAATGTAGGCAGCCTCAGGTGTCTGACAGGACAGAAACCAGCCCTCCTGAGATCCTGCCATGGCAGAATTTAGGCAGCTTATTTACTCGCCCTCTTGGCACAGTTCATCAGCACCAGCACTCCTAAGATCTGTTCATGTTGGAACTTAAGCAGCTTATTGGTCCGCTTTCCTGGTAAGTGCCCGTGGTGTGGGCCATGAAGACAACCAGTGCTCCATAGACCTGGCCATTGTGGAATTTAAGTAGCTTATTCTTCTTTCAACCTGTTACATGCCCCTGGCATGGGCCAGTTGCAGAAAAAGCACTCGCGAGATTGGCCATGGTGGAACTTAGGCAGCTTACTCACTGGCCCTTTTGGTAAGAACCCTAGTTCTTTGCCAGAAGGAAAACGAGCATTTCAGAGATCTAGCCACATTGGAAGTTATACAGCTTATTTGCCTGAACCCTTGCTTACCTGTTAGGGGTAAGTGCCCCTAGCTTGGGTCAGGAGGAGAATTAACATTCTTGAGATATAGCCATCATGGCCCTTAGGCAGCTGATTTGCCTGCCATCTTGGCAAGCACCCCTTGTTCAGGCCAGTAAGAGAACCAGTGGCCCTGTTAGCCTCCCGGGACATGGGCTGAGAATCACACTCCCCCACCATAGCAGCTGGGGATAGATGTCTCAGCATGTCTTGGGAGAATGACCATATGCAACATAGCAAATAAGGGAGATTTCCTTCTATCTTCTGTTTGAAGACAAAGGTTGTTTTAACTGTTTTGTTTTGTTCTGTTTATTTTGCTGTATTCAGTACTCTCTTTCCATTGGTTTTATAATATTTTGTTTTGAGTTTGATTTTACTAGTCCTAGTTGAATGGACAATTATTGTCAATATAACAAGATATACTATAATACCTATTAATAGTATGCCAGTATCCTGATGTTAAGGTCTGTATCAATTTCACTGCATTGTCTCAATTGGCTTTGTTCTGTCTTCTTCTGTTGTGTTTTTATTACCTTCAAAATAAAATCAAAAATTTAATAAATAAAATTTAAAATTACAAAATGTATAACATTACAAGGTATCAAATATGGCAAATTCTATCTTGATAAGTTAGAAAACGACAAAATCAACCTGTAAACTGAACAGTAGAAATATATATAACAGAAAACATAAACATTATCATTTATGAAAGAAATAAACATTAGTAACATTAATTAAATAATGTTTTAATAATTACAATAAGGACACACTTAATATAGCATAATAAAACACTGAAACTATGTTATCATTTTGCTTCATATAAATGATGGATAAGAAAAGATGCCTAGCTTCAAAATAACTTCAAATAATAAAATAAGAAATATAGAATCAGAACATTATACTTTTCATTCCAGTGATGAAGTTTAATTAATGGATATTAATACCTGAATATCAAGTCAGGAAGCAGGATGATTCTTAAACGTGATTTACAAGTGTTGCTGCAAAGATCATGTATTAAAGCCAGTGGGAAAACTGACAGCCAGTGGTATATGGTAGAGACAGGGCCTGATGGGAAGAGTTAAGTCACTGGAAAGGGTGCCCTTGAAGAGGATTCTGGGACCACACTGCCTCCTTTAACTTCCTTAACTTTTGGCTGCTGTGAGGTGACCAATTTTCCTCTACTACTTGCTTTTTCTTTGATGTGCTAGCTAATCACATTTCCAAAACTAATAGAATAAGTGACACTGAACCCAAAGCTAGGAATCACTGAGCCAATAAACCCTTCCACCTTTTAAATTTCTGATGTCAGAGATTTTGTCGCAAAAACCAAAAGGTGATCACCACAACAAATGTTACAAATCTAACAGGAGCCTGAAGTATCACCACCACAATGGTCTGGCCAATGAACAAACATCTTGATAAGAAAACACTAATTTAATGAAACTTGTCCGTGTACCTGGGTCAAGTATACGTGGTTTAACATACTCTCTTATACAGTGTTGCATAACTGATGATCTTATAAGAATTGTTTTATCATAAATGTTATACATAAGTGTCAGTATATAATAAAATGGAGCTATGTTTAACCAGACATATATGACTTAATAAACTATAAGTATTATATTTTAGTTGACAAATATAGCTTGAAACCCTACTGCACATTCATTACCCAAATGTCACTGGATCAACAGGTTAGATGTCAGCTGCACATATAATTAAGCAAATGAAATCAACATTTTATGTAAACTCATCCACTTACTATTACTGCACTCTTGTTAACAATCAAGAATCCAAGATGCAAAACGTATGAGGATGGGGCAAGCAAAGATTTAAGGCAAGTCTGCTCCTAGCCGGGTGAAATGAATAGTGTATGCATCTATGCATACATTTCTACACATCATTGCTGGAATTGTCATACAAAAATGAGTCAATAATCATGTATCCACCATAAACACACATGAAATATTTAAGGTTTTATATATATATATATATATATATATATATATATATATTTCCATAAAATACTCCAGAACTCTTAGTACAGTGAGAAAGGAAATAGTACAGTTAGAAACAAAGGAGGTGAGTGAATCATTCCCTTCTCTAAAGTCCACACCCTCAAATGATGACCCATTCTTCCATAACCCGAAAAAATTAGGAAAGTTGGAAACAGGGAATTCCTGTGAGACACACCCTTCCTGCCACAGGACAATAAATATAGCACTGCTCTAGTGATTACCTAGGTTTAAATTTAGGAGATCACCATGCCAGAGGCTTCACATCACTGACACTAGTGAGAGAGACAGTGGACAGCACCTGGAAACAGAGGCGTCTGACTCTTTAAATACCAGAACTCAGAGTTATCCAGGCTGATTTTTCCCCTTTATCCCTCTTTCTGTTCCTGCTGCTATTGTCCTGTTGTTGTGGAAATCTGCTATAAAACCAAATGGAAAATACTTTGAAACTTGGAGTTGGAAAGCAACTGTTTGTTATGTAAGTGTACTCAAATCACCAGCCTCCAGTCAATTTTAGGTTCAGTTTTTATATGGTTGCAAGCAGAAAGTACAAAAGCCAATAGCAAATCAGTTTACGTCATCATACGTTGTTAAGCAGATTAGCTCTAGGCAGGTTTACTTAAAAAGGAATTGTTTGTCATGAGGCAGTAGAAACTAGGGAGGGAGCTGGGGATGAGGGGATGGTTGAAACTAAGTATGGTATTGACTAGTTTATCTCAGTTAGAGTGTACTTGAAAATAGATTATGTTTAGATGCCAGACAGTACAGGAAGACAAGATGGATGTGACCAGACTGAGTCAGGTTGCACTCTCTCTAAGGTGCAGCTGGCATGGTCAGTCAAGGCTAAGTGACTCTGATAGTCCAACTATGTGGTGGTCTGGATGAGCATATCTTGTCTTAACAGAGTCATGAACTATTGATTTTTTAACTATTCTCTCACTCACATTTTGATTTTCAATATACGTAGCTACTTACTGCATACTACAAGGTGCATGCCAAGCAATTCATTCTGAATGGAACACAAAAACCTGGACTATTTTGGACACATTCAATTGTAACATTATTACCTGTGATACTCTAGAAAAGATTAAAACCAAACTTAACAGAGATCACCAGAGGTCCTCAAATCCTATTTTCAGTAAATTCTACCCAGAGCCAGAACCTTCCCATCCTATGGTCCATCTGTCTCTCCAAAGTAGTGCACAGGACCTCAATGGAGGCCACCTCTCGATCCTCGCATTAGCTCAGAGAGTCCCCCATTTGAAGGGGTTGTGATTGTTGCTGCTATCTTTAAGATTCCTGCCTGTGACTGAAGGGTGCATTGCAATGTCACATGGGGCCTGGATGGCTATTAGTGCAAGTAAAAGGAGTGTGAAAATCTTCCATCCTTGACTCCTGTTGGTCCTCAAGCTTGGGTTTGTCAGTTGTTAACTCAGGACCACAATGATGCAATTTAATGTGCCAAGGAGAACTGGGGAATGAGGTGTGTTTTTCCCACTGATTTATTTGAAGGGCTCTAGGCGACTCTGTCTGATTACTGGTGATACTGGCCTCAGTCAAACAGTGAGGTTCTGATGATTTCTCCATGGGTAATTTCATACTTTCTATTTCCCTGTCCCTTATAATTGGTAAATATTTGTGTGAGACTACTTTGAAACAAAGGTACCCCATGTGGGCCCCAACATAGCAGCTTAGGGAGAGTCTGGATTTAGAGGAATGCACCAGCACCCCAGCTGTTACTACATTTTTCTCATATTGATTTTGTATGTCTATGTCCTCCTGCAGTTATCAGATTTTTCTTCAAGCAGGAGCCACCATTCTTCCCCCATCTTCTTACTTATGTCTCTTCACCTTACATGCATTGTTTTTTGACCATTCCCTCCTTTCTTGAAACCTCAAAACTCAGGCTGGCATTTTCTCTATCCCTGCTTGGAGTCAATCATTTTTTCAAAGATTCTTGGAGCCTTTGATTGTTGAAGAGTAGGACCAAACCCAGTTGTGTCAGCATACTGAAAACTGAACCATTTAGAAGAGCAGAATTTCACTGTTTACTTGGGATTCCATGTGCATCATAGATCAAAGGCCTTAGCTTCACTGTGACATGTTAGGAAGATGAGCTTTCAAGCCAACTGGAACAGGAGAGATGCTTAGCTTCTCTGTGCAGGCTTCCTTGTTCCCCTCAGTGTCACCCACCTCATTATCCATCCAATGTCTCTGCTTGCTTTTGCAGTAGGTACTGCACAATTTCTATCCTCCAAGAAAATGCCACAGCTCCTTCTTCCACTCTGTCAGCTCTGAATCAGATACCATCTTCTTGGTTGGCTTTTCCTCAGCAACCTTTCAAAATTGGCACTTCCTGCGCCACTGCTGCCTCCTCCCTCCTGGCTTTTATGTTCACCATGAAGAATGATAAACTAACTTTTTACTTCTTGCTTCCTCCCTGTCAGATTTTTTGGCCCAGTTGAGAGCAAAAGCCTTTATTGACAGCGCAAGAGGCCTTCAGGAAATTGCCAGGACCTTCCCATGAGGAACCTGGGGAATGGCTTTTATGGAGTAGGGCTGATGGAGCAGACTGGATTGTGGTGTAGGGAGAGAATTGGAGGATCTTGGGTGCACATGTGGGAAAGAAGAGCAAAATGTCCATTTTGGGATTAGAAGAGAGAAATTTGCTGTGGTTGTACATGATCACTGCTATGGTGAAACTAGTGATGCCACAATTGGGTGGAACCCATCACTTCCTTCCTCACTTCCTTCCTTCCTTCCTCCCTTCCTTCCTTCCTTCCTTCCTTCCTTCCTTCCTTCCTTCCTTCCTTTCTTCCTTCTTTCCTTGCTTCCTTCCTTCCTTCCTTCCTTCCTTCTTTCCATCTGTCCTTCCTTCCTTCCTTCCTTCCTTCCTTCCTTCCTTCTTTGCTTGCTTCCTTCCTTCCTTTCACCTTCCTACCTTCCACCAACCCTCATTGCTCTCTCCTTGCCTCCCTCCTGATTATTTCAACTTTCCTCTTTGGAGTCACACTCTGAACCATTCCTTCAACTACACTTAGGACAAAGCAGCCACAGGTGAGGAAATGAAGGAGTACATGAAATTTTCACCATGCAGGGATGATTCCTGGTTCCCTCCAGGGAGAGGTACACAGCCGGCCCTGACCACACAGCATAGATCCCCAATTCCAAACTCCTGGCCACCTTTTCTGGGTCTTATATATTATCTGAAGATGACCCCCAAAAGTCTTAATGCCCTCCTACATGGTGATTTGGGGAGGTGATAGAATCCTGGGTGTGTGATACTGATGAATTTGGAGCTGAATGTGATGCTATGATGTGAAGCATGGTGAGGAGAGGCGGGTCACGGTGGGTGTACACTGAAGTCTTGCATATCCCTCCTCCTCCCTGCATGTTGGCCATGTTTCTCACTTTGCTTTCTCATCTTCATGACATACTCCATGTTTTGGGCAGCCTATGGGGTTTCTATGTTTACTCATGGATCCCAAGTTCATACTCAAGTTCCATGACTGACTTTGACC